GTCTAGGACTGAAAATAAGAAATATATACTCGCCCAATCCTCGGAGCCAGCAGCGCTACCTCCAGCCTTTCTCCTCCTCCGCTGCAGCGATGGTATGTCCCTCGGTGTCCTCACGTCCAATACATTGTATTCGGATGTGATGATTTGAGGATCCTTAGACTGCTGCAGCAGAGGGAGATAGACACTTGAAGGATCGGTCTAACAGCAAGCCACCTCCGAGGATCGGGTAAGTAAAAGCTTTTTATTTTCAGCCCTAGACACAAACGAACAGTTAACCCTTGCAGTGAGGGGGTAGCCACACTGCAAGGATTAATAATAATTTTTTGCTTTTAAGGCTTACTACAGACCAGAAATGCTTCCAGCTGGCTGGCTCAGTAAGTCTTATGCCAAAAACCTACAGCCATCTGATACCCAGTACCTGTGTCCGTTGGAAATAAATGTGATTGGTGGCTTTCTAGCAGTTGATCACACCCATTCAATACACAAACCCCGCTCCCCCACCTACCACAGTTGCTTGTTGGAATATAACCAAATTGGCAATGGCGGAAAACGGCTGCATAGTAGATTGTGGAAAACTTTGAGCGGAATTTATCAAAACTGGAGCAGACAAAAATCGGCACAGCTGTGCATGGCAACCAATCAGCTTTTCTCTTCAGTTTAGATTTGAAAAGGAAAGAGAGAAGCTGATTGGTTGCCATGCACAGCTGCTCCAGTTTTTGTCTGCTCCAGTTTTGATAAATTCCCTTCTATTATCACATCCATTCATAAAGCTATCTACAATTCTTGAGCTGGCTGCAGTGCTGAGGAGAAGCGGGGAGATGTTTACCATCTCCTGTAGTACCACTAAATGCAGAAGTGTTTAGTCGTGGTCACTTCTGCATTTAGTGTGCTGAGTGCTCGGAGAGAATAAGGACAGATGATTCTGTGTCCTATGTTTCTCTTTCTGGCACAGTGGAGAGACATTAGGGATCTGTTGGATCACTGATGTCTTATTGAAGAGCACCTGTCACCAGGGGAGGAGAAGGCTGAAAACTCTGTGTCCTCCGATTCTTTCTCCAGCTCAAATTGGAGACATTAGGAGTCTGAGACATCAGACTCCTGATGTCTCATTGAAGAAGAGCTGTCAGTAGGTGCATTACTGCACATGCATTAAGGTGCATTGCACCACGTATGCCAATTAATTTTGAATTGGCAGCCAGCACACCCCAATTCAGGCAAAAACTTACAGGGCCCAGGTACATCTTAGCAGTGTTTTTAAAGCATGTTATGTCATGAGCTAATGTGTCGCATTTCGGCAGCCCATTTAAAATAAACCCTAATGTACACAACCCTTTTTTTTTCTTTTTTTTAAGGCAATGCACAGCAACACACTACCATGAGTTGCAGCAGTCAAAACGCAGGTGCATTGTTTTAGTGTATTATGTAATTAATTCATTGCACTTCAACTCACCACATTGCAGATTGTGAATTACCTGAACACAGTTATAAAACCAGCCTCAAGGTATTTAACTTAACCCCTTTACATCTGGTACTTCTGGCTCTTGCCAGTCCTTTAAGGGGTTCTTAATGCCAGAGGTGGTTTCCCCCAGAGGTGGTCTGATGATTGGAGACCCATCCTACTGGTTCCCAATGTAAATAGTAATCAGGATCTTGGTGTTGGAGCATGCTCCAAGCACAAAACAGCAACACCACCAGTCTGTATATTAGAGGGCATAAAGTACACCACTGTGCTGCCACACATGTGTATGGCCATTGTCAACAGATTTAAAGTGTATGTAAAGGAAAACTTTGTGACTTATTAAATGTTTTTAAAAAGACGCAATGTAAAATTTACAATAAAAGAATTAAAATCATTACTGTTTTATTGAAAATATAGTATTGATAAACATTTGCACAACTACCATGGACCTACAAAATCAGACATGATGAAAAAAAAATTAAAAAACTGCAAAAATGGTCTGACCAACTAAATCATAAGTGTAGTGTAGGGCCTGGCAGTGAAAGGTTTAAACTTCAGTCACCAACAGCACTGACCGGCCCCTCCAAATGTCTCTGGTCTTTTCTCTATTGGTTTGGCCTGCTATGGTCTCTCTTCTAGATCTTGTCTGGACTGTGGTGGTAAGCGCACATAGTGCTCTTATGTTTTGGATTTGACATCTGCTAATTGTGGAGGGGGTATCTACTTTTTAGGAAATCTCCGTATTAATATTAAAAATATATACATTTCCTTGTTAATGTTCAGTAAAAATAATAATCCAGAATGTATCAGTTTTTAAATAGGAATCATGTTTTTTAAGGACAAAAGAATTACAGTTCTTCAGTGGCCTCCAAAGAAATTTTAGCTTTTGATATAAAGTTTAATTTAACTGTTATTAAGTTAAATTACATGGTGGCCAGTTAGAAGCAAACGTCTATCATGTTCATCACATTTTGCTCGCAACTCCTGCCTCCTACACTTTTCTATTGGCTAGTAGGGCAGCCCATCATAGTAATGGGCCAGTAGGAGTTTAGGAAGCCAGAGAGAGCAGGCAAAGCTCCGACACTTCCAGGTAGCATCGGAACTTTGTGTGTTCAGAACGTCCCAATGCTAGGTTGTAGAAAGGGCTACTAAAAGCTGCTGATGGTATGTACAGTAAACCCTGTGTGCTTCCACCTAAAACAAGCTCTTCTCAAGGATAAATGTTTTAAATATGTGCCTTTTTATTTTATTTATTTATATTTTGAAGAATGCCAATCTCCTTTTTCTTTTTTATTTTTTTGAGAGAAATGTATAGATAGCTATTGCTGCCTTCTGTGTTCTGAAAAGACTAGTAGCCCGGCTGTCGTGCTAATTCAACGGCTTCAGTCACTACCAACATATCTATATGTCAGTCCATGAAAAAGTTTGCCTCTTGGGAATTGAGTTGTGTAACATAGCTTGGGTAACCCCTAGATGGCACCCTAACCTGCCTGAATATCACCAATACTGCTGAAATTGGGTAGACCCACTACAACTATTGCAGTGTGCATGGCTACCCTAAATTTTCAAGCTTGTGAAAGGCACTGATGGCTCAAGTTGTAAAGTGACTTTGTTTCTCTTCCATTGAGGGACACAGGAATTCAGATAAAGTTGGGTTATACTGCCGCCTACAGAAGGATTGGACACTGGCAAACCGAAAAATTGTAAGCCAGACCAGGATAACCTCTCCTTTTCCCAGCATTTCTTTTTTTTTTTTGCTCGTGTCCTAGGAGGATGGACATCTTTGCTTTAGCTCTGCCCAAAAAAAAAATCTGACTAAATTTCGCTAGCCTTTTTTTTTTTTTTTTTCCCCCCCTTAATTTCTCACTCATTTTTTATCCCCCCCTTCAATTCTCCATTCATTGATTTCAGTCAAGATTCCTCATTCTATCGCTGCTTGAGCTGGTCATACAAAGCAGCTGTCCAGATCATGTTTCCTCAAGTTATCTTTGAAGGTCATACTTGGAGCCTGGAATGTGACGTTCAGGCACTGGGCTCTGCATTGTGGTGCTTTCCATAATTGTATGTACTAGTAAAAGTGAGCCGAGGAGCGCTTTCTAAGTCAGAGCTGTGGTGCAGCCTAAGTGTGGCCCTGTACCTAAAGACTGACTTCATGAGGAAGGCCACTCTGGCTGAAACACCGGGAGTATCCATGTAATTTGCACTGCTCAACGCCTTTTAAAATTTCCCATTACCACCGGCTTAACTACTGAGGGACTGGATGGAGTGTCATGCATGCTCCACACTCTTCATAATCTGGCTGTTCATGCTTTGAAGAGCACAGCTGAGACTCTGACTCGCTTGGTCATCAAGGTAACTGTGTTGCACATGATCAGTGTGCCAGCCAGTTTTTTAATGCCCTGATAAGAGATGCACACATTGCTACCATCAGTAGCAGTAGTGGTTGTTTAACAGTACTGAGCTTTACTTCACAATTATTAAACTGCAGTTACATTTTACTGTTTTTCCCAACACCTCAGTGAGTGCAACATTGTAATTTTTATTTCTCCGTAACATCCTCTCCTATTGTATTAGGCTGTGGCACTTTTGTATATCTTTTTTTTCACAATAGGTGTTGGAGGAGCTCCTCCCTCAGAGCCATCTTCCCTTTTCCGATCTCTTCCCGGTCCACTTCAGCGCCCTTCTCTGCTGTTGCAGAGTCATCAAATCATTTTCTTCCTGTTCTGAGCTTTAAGTTGATTTCCTGTGCCCTTCCTTGGTTGTGTTGGCAGCCACCTTGTCTGGTATGGGGCTCAGCCCTATCCAGTTCAGATTTGGGCATTGGTCCTTTTGGGTGGCCTATGAGCTGCAGACAATACTTAGTTCTTTTGGGTGTGTTGGCGATTTGTTGCCCAGCCTTCAGTTGAACTGCTTTTGGACATCCCAACTGTATTTGAATTCCTGTGTCCCTTAATAGACGAGAATGAATGATGATTTTGTACCATAAAATCCTTTTCTTGAAGTCTGTTGAGGGATACTGGTTCCTCCTGTATTTGTCTGTTCATGCTCTTGGTACTGCTTCCTACAAAATAAGGCACGTTGAGTAGAGGAGGGATTATCCTGGGGCTGCCTTACAATTTTTCTGTTTGCCATTGTCCAATCCTCCTGTAGGCGGCAGTATAACCTGACTGTATCTGAATTCCTGTGTCCTTCAATGGACTCCAAATAAAAGGATTTTACGGTAAGTACAAAAGTCCTATTTTTTTTTTTTTTTTATGATTTCTGACATAAGTGTTGTAGATATCTAAAGTGCTGTATGTTTCAGTGAAACACATCTGATTTTATTGTAACATTGCAAAATATTTTCTCAAATCAGACATTTATGCTTGCATGTACTTCTATATCTTTCTTAGTACATATGTTAAATGGCTGACCTGTTTTTTAAATGCTTTGGTGTGTCAGAGGTGTATCGTGTGTGTTCTTTGTAATAAAAATGTTCTGTTTTTCCATGCTATAAATATGCATATTTATTAATTCTTTCCATATTATTCCTTTCATATAGAGCTCTGGCCATAGAAGTCCGGAAACTTGCAGCAAGTCAGAAAAAATGTTGAAGAAAGGAGTGTATGACAAGGTAAATTTGGGCCACCTCTTCTTCTTCTCCAGCAAGTATTTAATTTAGTATAGTTGGCAGTATTGTTTAAATGTCTCTGTTCCCCTCAATTCCTACTTCTTTAGGCATACACAGATGAGCTGGTTGATTTGCACAGAAGACTGATGGCTCTCCGTGAGAGGAACATCCTGCAGCAGGTGGGATCCTCCTCTTATCTGCACAGTATGAAATTAAGGAGAAATTTGTGTGAAAATCTGTGTTCATGTTGGACTGGGTTAATCTATCCTGTCTCTTTGGTGATTTTGTGTTGTGTATATCTGTATTTAATAATTGTAATAATTAATTGTAAGATGCTAAAAAAGAGTTTCCCCTCATGATAGCAAGGGCAGAATAATGTTACAAAGACCATATCGTTTTGATTAGGAACATGCCAATCGTTCCATATATCATTCACTCCAACATTCACAATGTGAACACTGTTCTTTGCATCAGGCACCTTACCTCCATCACACCCATTCCAGTAATTTTTAACTTAACACACTCTAAGCCCTTTCATCCCACTTCTTTCGGATTGTGAGCTGGGCAGTGGCAGTGGATAACGGGTTAAGGCCAGAGTTAGCAGTGGAGCTCTGCATTCTCCATTATTTTAAAAAAAAAAAAAAAAAAAAGTGGTAACCAGAGAGGCAGAGCCAGAATTTTCAGGGGAAATATTTTACTCATTTGGCAGGTACACACATGTAATTTCCCTTCAAAACTTACTGTTTTGAGTTTTCTTAACCCTAAAAGAATGTGTTACAAACTAAAATACCCGTGTGAAGAGTCTTGAATCCACCACACAATGATATTGTGTAGTTTTTTTTCTTCAAGAGACAGATTGCAATAGAGATGCATTGCATGAAACCAATTCAATGTACAAATTAAAATCCAATGTTCCTCTCATATTATGTGGTCTTCCTCCCCAGATCGTTAATCTCATAGAAGAAACAGGCCACTTCAATGTCACAAACACAACTTTTGACTTTGACCTTTTTTCATTGGATGAAACAACTGTTCGCAAGCTACAGAGTTACCTTGAAGCTGGTGCCACATGACCCCTCAGTGGAAGGGAAAGTATGAGAGAGAAGAACATGCTGTTGGCTGTGTATTCTTGACAAACAAAAAAACCTTATTTCTTGAAGTTACCATGGTCAGTGCACATTTGGAGTTGATCGGGCTGAACCCAGCAAATAGGATCATCTAGACTTTCCTGCAGTGCAGTGTGCTGCATTTTACTATGTGACATGTTTTACCAGAAATTTGAAACCATATTTTTTTTCACATTCACACTACATCTATAAATCTGCACTGAAAACACTACAGCTTCTACAAGTTATGTAAGAGTGTGGTGTAGAAATGTTTTAAACTCCAGTGCTCCCGGACCTCTGGCAGTGCATGTTTTTTAGATGTCTTCAGAAAAATCGCAGGTGAAATAATTGGAGTGCTTCATTTACAGGATTAATGCAGCTTTGCTCTAAAAGTTTAGAAGGCATGGTCTGTAAATCTCTGCACTTGTAAAGCTTTCCATCCGCTTTCATCCAAAGCACAGGTCTGCCAACCACCATTTTTTAAAATATATTTTTCAGTTCTTGGCAACCAAATGATAACAATTGTAAAGAAGAGTGATCAAAACCATTTCCGTGCCAGATGAAAAGCATTTTAGCATTTAATTATCAATGCCATTTTCAATAATTTGGTCATTGGAAAATGGGAAACAAAATGGTGGAAGATTGATTTGGTGTAGTTGAAAGCTGAAGGAAAGCTCTAAAAGTGTGGGGCCAGCATTAGTAATCTCTGAAGACCATAGTTGAAAAACAGTGTCCCAGAGCATATCTACAAGATTTGTATGAATATGAAAAACATATGTGCAACATAGGTGTTTGTATCGACAGTAATATACACATGGGTTTGTTTAATTAGCTCCAAAGATCAGTATAGGCAATAATCCATGGCAGCCAATCAGAAATTAGCTTCTGAAAGCTTAGAAAGGAAAGAATACTATAAGCTAAAATCTGACTAGGTACCATGTTTTACCAACATGCTAAGAACTGCTGGAATGTCAAAGTTAACATCTGATTGGCAGCTGTGGGCAGCACAGACTGTTCTTATTTTAGCACATATTGAGAAGTGAAGCCATCTGTGTAATTTAAAGGTACAGTAAGATTGTATCTCTGTATTATGAGGCTACTACTCAGTATTTAACCTCCAAATTTTCTGCAAAAAGCATGAGACCCATACACAAGCAGTTTAACACAGGAGTAATCCGTATTCTTCACTGTGAATAATCTCTGGTAAATCCTCTTCCTTCCTCTCTTGTCCAAGTTAAGTGTTTTGTATACTATTCGCAATTCAAGTTAGGTGGAGATTATACTATTTATGGTGAGCAAGGAGCGATAGAGCACTGGCTACACTCAGCTTTGGAAGCATTACGGAACTTTGAATCTGTAAACTGTATATTATATATATTATATATATGTATGTATGTATTTTATGTATAAGAGGGCCTGAAGAAGCAGTTACCCTTTTTTAAAAAAAAAATTTGATGGTTAAGGGTGGAACAAGGATTTTTTTTCCTTTTTAAATCATCGTATGTCTTTACCATACTATTTTTTATTTTAGCAAGTGATTCAAAATTTACAAGTTGGAAGTGATTTTATGCCTTTTAAAATGTAATTTATGAACATTACATTCTGTTATTGGAAGGGCTTGTTAAGTGTTTGAACACTATTTACTTTCTGAACAGCAGAAGTAAGTACAGGCAAAACAATGTTTTATGTGGGATCCAGAGTATTTACATAGGACACTTCTGGCTTTCTTTGTTCTAGCAGGTACCCCCAGAATTCCCAGCTTAATAAAGGGAAACTATACTGTATATTTTAGCAAGTACATGTTTGAATTTGTAATGTTTAGGTGAAAGAAATATTTGACCTGACTTTCGCAGTTTTACTTGCCTTATTCTGTTTTAATTATTGTATTCAACAGATTTGTAAATGTATTTCAGCAGGGAATATCATTGGCATCCCTGTTTAGAGAGTCATAACTGGGCTTATGCAAGAATCATAGTAATTTAAGACTGCATATTCTAAAAGTGCAGACCTTCTTATCCAAGATTTGTAGTCATACTCTTATCCAGCTCTACTTGCCTTGCAGTTTAAAGCAGACCTCCAGCCTGCAG